TCGGAGCTTTCTCTCCTGTATTCTTATCTCCCTGTCTATCTATTTCTGCTTTCTTTAGGGTACAGCCCAGACTCCTGTCACCTTGACTTTGCCATAGGTCCCACCCCCTCTCCATGGCTTCTCCCTACAAACTTCTCATGATAGTATCTCTCAATTCTTCTGAAAATTTTTCTCTCCCTCCCTCCATTTTCATGTGTGTTAGTGTGTATTTGTGTGTGTGCTTGCATGTGTGTGTGTGTTTGCATGTATGTGAATATGTGTGTGTGAGTGTGTTTGCATGTGTGTGAGTGTGTGTATGTGTGTGTGAGTATGTGTTTGGATGTATGTGAATGTGTGTGTATGTGTATGAGTATGTGTTTGCATGTGTGTGAGTGTGTGTTTGCATGTATGTGTGTGCATGTGTGTGTTTGCATGTATGTGTATGTGTGTGTTTGCATGTGTGTGAGTGTGTGTATGTGTGTGCGAGTATGTGTTTGGATGTATGTGAATGTGTGTGTATGTGTATGAGTATGTGTTTGCATGTGTGTGAGTGTGCGTGTGTGTGTGTGTGTGTGAGTGCACATGTTTGGGTGTGCGTGCAATGTGGAGGTCTGAGATAGATGACAAGAATCTCCCTTGATCAGTCTTCCATTGTATCCACTGAGGCAGGGTCTCTCAACCAAACCCAGAGCTCTTCAGTATAGCTGGTCTCATCAGCCAGCATCTTCTGGGGATCCCGTCTGCTCTTGGAAGCTGGAATGACAGACAGGCTGCCACACCCACCAGCATTTACTTGGGACTTGGGAGTCTGAACCCTATTCCTCATGATTATGTGGCAAGTGCTCTTACTGCCAAGCCAGCTCTCCAGCCTGTACATTCCTTCCCCCTACAGCTTGCTTTGCTGTTTCTCTTTCATTCTTATCCTGTTACTTTGACTGAACCAGTAGCAGCATCCTGTGGTCAATGTTCCTATACAACGTTCTGACACCTCCCAGAATCCCTCACAGGCTACCATGAATGTGTGAGGATTTAACTATTCAGTTTGTTTGGCTGAGATTTGATCAATGCATCAGTTCCAGCCACTGGGGACAATGCATGCATCAGAAAGGTGAACGGAAGAGAACCACTCTGTTAACTTGTGTAGAGTGAGCTCTCCCACGCCTGCTAATCGTCTGGTGTTTTTGGACTTTTCTGTGAGTTAGATTATCACAGACCAGTTACTATTTTCATTTACTTTTCTGATGTAGCAGTTATCCCAACAGGTTTGAAATGAACAGTGTGCTCTCTCTACTTGTCCCTTTTGGCCTGCCTTGACTCTCCCTGTCACCGCTTCCTGTGCCAACCCTTCCTGCAGCTGCCTTGCCTTGCAAATGGTCCCTCTTCTTTCTGTCCAGCCCAGCTCAGATACAGCTGTTCAAGAGGCTTCTTGGGGGCCTTGGGATCTTATCAGTGCATCCTCTCACACCACGGCCATCCCTTGGGGTGTCATATACGCTGTCTATATAATATTTTATATTTTTTTTCTGGTGAGGAAGATGTTCCCCACTAAAATATAAGCTATGAACATGAGAAATGTGTATCTTTCTTGCCACCTAGGATTCAGTCCTCCCAACAGAGACGGGGTTTGTTATTGTTCATTTGTTTGTTTTTGAGACAAGGTTTCTCTGTGTAGCCCTTGCTGTCCTGGAACTCACTTTGTAGACAAGGCTGGCCTCGAACTCATAGAAATCCACCTGCCTCTGCTTCCTGAGTGCTGGGACGAAAGGTGTGCGATACCACTGCCTGGCTAGAACAACGGTTTGCAGTTGCAGTGGGATTAAGAAGGCATGGACTTGTTTCTGTGCTGTAAAAGCCCTTTAGTGAGCGGTTCAGGCCAGCCCCCTCCTCTGCACTGCTCTGCTCAGCATGCCTGCTGTTTTCCTAGCCATAGAGAGCAGAGGCTGTGGGGTCAGCTGGTGGGGATAAGGGCAGGGAACAGTGCATCTGTTACCCGCTAAAGGAGGGTCCCCGAAACTGTACATCTCTGCTACTCCCCACTCCTCAGCCTGATGTAACTCATGTGGTTGCACCTAGATACCCAAGAGGTCCGGAGATAAAATTTTTATTCTGGGTACACATATGCTCAATTCAAAATGGATCTAATGCCCCCAAGTAGGAGACCAGCTTTTGGGAGATGGTCATTTCCAGTTACATTCCAGGGTTCTAGCCTGTTGCCTGGAACATGGTATGTTAGTTGAATGATGCAACTAGAGAAACACTCGTGTATTTGTTTTCTTGGATGCTGTTTAAAAAAAAAAAAAAAGAGTATGACAAAGTATGCCAAACTGGGAGCTTGTTATACTCGGTGCAATGGGTTTGAGAAGTCCCTGGTCAACTTTTCACTCTGCTGGTTTCTTCTGAGGGCTGAGCCATCTCTGCAGCCCCAAATGTCCCATTTTTAACAAAGGGACACCAGCCACACTGAGCATGCATTCACCATGAGGACGAGACCTCAATGAATTAGACCCCATGTCCAAGTAAAGTCATATTCTGAGATCCTGGGAATTCTGAATTTTTACAACTTACAAATGCTTGCGGTGTGGGTGGAGATAGCACTCACTGCTCAGCACAATCAAGTACAACATGAATTCTCTGGCCACATAAGCTGGGACATGATGTCTGCCTGCCACACAGGCGCTGGGACTGGACCTTGCAGCTCTCATTATTCCTCCCAAGAAGCCGCTGCAGGCAGAGGCAGCTGTCTCGTCCTCTTATCTGAGAGGGGGAGGCTGGGAGTGTCATTGGCCGTCCCAAGTCAAATCAGTAAATCAAACTTCAGGGTCTTACAACTCCAGAAAAAGCTACAAAGCCCCTGCGTTCTGAGTCTTTTGCAACAAGATGGTGGCTCCTGCCTTTGGTTTCTAGCTATAGCCCAATTGGCAGCACTTCCCGGGGATGCCAGGGCCTGGCTGCTAGCTGGGCCCTCCCTAGGCACCAGTCAGCCCTCCTGTATTGGAGCTTTGTTCATTCTTTGCTGGTATACTCAGTTCTGCCTGTGTGCTTCCCCCATGCAGAAGCCCTTCCGAGCTCGGTCCAGATCATACTTCCCTCACCTGTGTAACTCCCCACAGCTCCAGCTGGTAAATGTTACCCTCATTAAAAGCCAAAGTGGAAAGATGATGCTGTCATCGTCACGGGGGGTGGGGCTTAAAGGTTACCCTCTCCCTCCCAGCAGAGGGATTGCAAACCAGGTGGCAGTTCTGCCCTCCCCCCGGGGGCCAAATGACTATAGTGCTGGCTAGTTTTATGTCAACTTGACACAAACTTGAGTTACCTGAAAGGAGGGAGCCTCAACTGAGAAAATGCCACCATAATATACAGCTGAAAGGCATTTTCTTAATTAGTGGTGAGGGAGAGCCCAGCCCATTGTGGATGGTGCCATCCCTGGACTGGTAGTCCTGGGTTCTGTAAGAAAGGAGGCTGAGCAAGCTATGGGCAGCAAGCCAGTAAGCAGCACCCTCCATGACCTCTGCATCAGCTCTTGCCTCCAGGACACTGCCCTGTTTGAGTTCCTGTCCTGACTTCCTTTGGTGGTGAACTGTGATTTCGAAGTATAAGCCAAATACACCCTTTCCTCCCCAAGTTGCTTTGTCATGGTGTCTCATCACAGCAATAGTGACCCTAACTGAGACATTGATGCAATCATCAGCTTTGGGAAACTCAGAGATACCAAAGCACAGCCCTAATGAAAGCAAGGCTTAGGGACCACGTCTTTTGACTATTTGAGAGGAGTTGACCACAGCTACTGCTGAACCACACATCTCCCTTCCTGACCACATCACACACCGGGGGAGCCAAAGCGCCAGGCCACCTCCTACGACACAGTGATCTGGCAGCCTTCTGTGTAGGAGGTGTCAGAAGCCTCAACTTTAGGAGGGTGGGATGAGATGCAAACGGTCGCTTGAAAAGCCTCCTCTTTGAACTAAGTGGAGAACTGGCACACCTCCAGCCACCTGTCTACCTGTGCTATCCTTGGGGGAGGGTCTGGTCGGGGACTCTGTTGCAGATCCGATCTCACCGGCTACAGTTATGGCTTTCCATAGCATTCCTGTGGCTTTGGAATATGCTTTTGGGACTATATCCACTTCCCCAATGTTTCCACTGGAAGATTCCATCTGACACATGTGGCAGTACTCTCTTCCGGTTTCACGCCTTGCGATTCAGATGATCACCCATGTAGGGCAGCTTCAGGATGGCAATGGAACACAGCAGTGCATCACTGGGGTTCACACTTAGACTCCCAAGGGGTTTCTGACTTGGCAACTCAGAAAGAACATCACTTAGGCATAGGGAAATGTGGGCAGGATGCAGCATTATGGTTCGCGCCAAAGGCATCATCTTCGGCTGGCTGGCTACTCACCTGGCTTAAAGGTCTCCAAAGCCACAGATGGAAAAAGAAAAGGCTGAAGAAATGGCCTCTGTCCAGTTCTCACAGCGTTTACTTCTTGGTTCACAGTCCTCCTATGCAGGTTCAGGTAGAGTTGACACCATGTAGACACCTTCTCTCCAAAGATGAACTCTGTCACATGTGTGCATCAATGATACATTTATTAAAGAGACTGATTCTATCACCTGTCCCTTGGTGATTAGACTTGTGTCATCATCGTGTCCCGCCCCTCCCCCTGCTATTAGCAACAGGCCACTCTCAGGGTAGGATAATTGAGAGTGGTGGATCTAATTGCATAGTTGTTGCACCCACCAGCTGCACGGGAGCCTTGCTCATAAATCTCTTGAGGATCTGTGGTCCAGGGACTTGTTCTGCCAAATCCCTGGGGGGCCATGTGCAAGAGTCCTACTTAAGAGCAGACTCTGTGCCTGGGCATATCTGTGCTCTGACCTCGTGCACCTTCCTTTCCTTCACATGATTTCCATATTCACCTACATATTAGCTATACTTTGTCATACTTTGAGAGTGTGTTTTGGGGTTCAAGACCAGCCTGGTCTATGGAGTGAGTTCTGGGACATCCAGGACTATGCAGTAAAACCCTGTCTTGAAAAACCTTTCAGCTAAGATCAAGCATAACATCTGTTCATGCCTGTTTAATACCTGATACATCCTCTACCTGAAGATAATGTAGTAAATGGGCTCTTGGAACTGGGGGATGGAATAGGAGCCACTTCTGCCCACTCCACAGTTTGGCCTGTCATATCAGTGATTCCAAGAATAATGCCCTTCTTCCTGGGACTAGAAAACTTACACACTGGACATGGTAACCCATGCTCAGCACTCAGAGGTTAGCAAAGGCTTGTGAGTTTAAAATAAGTATGGTCAACATATCAGGATCCTGTCTTGAAAAAACAAAACATACAAAAATGTTTTATAGCCATAACAACACCCAGTCAAATTACATAATCAGGAACACATCACGGGTCACTTAGTTTATTTCCAATGTTTTGCTTTTAAGAAGCAATGTCACTATGGACATCTGTAGCTAGATATTTATGCAATTCACATTCTTTATCAGGATGAATGCCTAGGCATGGAATGGTTAGGTCAAAGGAATACACATTTTCTAAAAGACTTATTTTTATCTTTTAGAAGTTATGTATATATGTGTGTATCTGTGCACATATGAGTACAGGTACCCTCAGAGACCAGTAGAGGGCATCAGATCTGCTGGAACTGGAATTACAGGCAGTTCTTAACCCCTGTGTTGATGCTGGGAACCCAACCTGGGTCTTCTGCACCAGCAGTAGGAACTTTTCCCCCCTTATGTTTTATTTTCTTCTTCCCCCTCCTCCCTCTTCTCTTTGCAGTATGCACTAACCATTGAGCATACCCTCCAGCCCCTTTATACTGTTTTTAACTTCATATTGTGAAAACACAACATATGGGTTGGGGACATAGGTCTGTGGTAGGATGCTCACTTAGTCTCACAAACTCAAAAGCATTCACACCTGTACACGTGAGGCCGAATATTACAGAGGAGCCTCCTCTGCCCACTCAACAATGATTTGCTCCTCCTGGACATTTCCCCACCTTCTCTCCCATCTCCAAGCCATCCCTTCATTTGTTTTAGGAGCAGAGCCAAGACATTCTGCCAGAAAGAATCATTTCTGGTTTTTATCCTTCTCCACCCACCCTAGCTATTTGAAAAACAGGAGAGAGATTCCTGCACCTCCCACCCCAGCTACCTCTTTGCCTCACTTTCTCCCCACCTCCGAACTAGTGTGTGCATTTTAAAACCGTTTCAGATCTTGCCAGCCCAGTGCAGAAACTTTGATCAAATTATACTTCTGCCACCGATCCTGATGAGTGCCCATGCTTGCTAATCTTTAGGCCATTTTCTTCCTCCCCTCCTCGCTTCTCTACACCCATCCTCTCTCCTTTTCAATTCCTTCTTTTGTAGAACACAAGCGATGTAAGTGCTCCCTATCCTTGAACACCGCTGTGATGGATTGAAAAAAAAAAAAAAAAACCGAGAGTGGCACTGTTCGAAGGTGTGGCCTTGTTGGGGTGGGCGTGGCCTTGTTGGGTGGGCGTGGCCTTGTTGGAGGCAATGTGTCACTGTGGGGGCGGGCTTTGAGCTCTCTCCTCAAGCTTCACTCAGTGTGATAGTCAGTCGACTTCCTGTTGCCTCTGAGTCAAGATTTGAGGACTCTCAGCTCCCGCACCATGTCTGCCTGCATGCCGCCAAGATAATGGACTGAGCCTCTGAAACTGTAAGCCAGCCGCAATTCAATGCTTTCCTTTATAAGATGCTTTCACTGTGTCTCTTCACAGCAGTGGGAACTCTAAGACACCCAGCACCAGTCCTGTATTTTATTTGGGAAGAATACCACCTTCATTTGTTTTAGTTGGAAGTTATCCAGTTATGAATGAGTTTTCTCACTGAATATTTGCATTTCCTCCTTTGTGAATTGTCCTCTGTTCATTTTCCTCTTGAGTGCTGCTTTTGTTGTTGTTTGTTTGTTTTGTTATTTTTAGTTTCCATTTATGTTCCCCCAACAGCATTGTCCTTGCACCAGTGAATTGCTGGGACTACTGTTTCAGACTCAAAGTAACAGATAATTACCTTTATAGGAAAGTCAGTATGCTTTCTAAGGCCAGCATCAGAGCAGCAACTCACAAGTAACACTCAGACCAACAAGCAGGACAGGCTGGCTGGGGGCATGCGGTGCAAGGGGTACTGAGTGTGGGACAGGAGCCTGCAGGGATAAGGAGAAACACCCTGTATTGGCTAGTTTAGTTTGACTTGATACAAGCTAGAATCATCCGAAAGGAAGGAGCTTCAATTGAGAAAAGGCCTCTATAAGGTCCAGCTGTAAAGCATTTTTTAATTAGTGATTGATGGGGGAGGGCCCAGCCCATTTTGGGTGAGGCCATTCTTGGGCTGGTGGTCCTGGGTTCTGTAAGAAAGCAGACTGAGCAAGCCATGAGCAGCAAGCCAGTAAGCAGCACCCTCCATGGCCTCTGCATCAGCTCCTGCCTCCAGGATACTGCCCTGTTTGAGTTCCTGTCCTGACTTCCTTCAGTCTACAATGATGAACAGTGATATGGAAGTGTAAGCCAAATAAGCCCTTTCCTCTCCCAACTTGCTTTGGGTCATGGTGTTTCATCACAGCAATAGTAACCCTAAGACACACACCCCACCCCCGCCAGGCTACTCGCTACTCAGTCTGGGTACTGGGTACCACGCAGTTTCTTATGCTTTTAGGTCACACCCATATAAGATCTCCGATCTAGAAACTTTCTAGCACATCATGGATTATGTGTTTATTTGTAGAAGGCAAATAATCCCTTAAAATACGCCAAACATTAGTGAAATGAAATCTCTCTTTCTCCTCTCTTTTTAAAAAATGTTTTTCAGCATGAAGGCCCTGGACCAGGTGAATATAACTTGAAAGCACCCCCAGGAGGTTCCATTACTTCTTGTTTTCGATCTAAGGTCCCCCGATTCTTGCCTGCTGGTTCAGTAAGTATCTGAAGAGAGACACTGTGTGTGTGTATGTGTGTGTTGTGTGTTGTATTGAATTCCCAAGGCTTTGGCTAGACCTTGAGTTATGTCTGTCTTAAAGGCAGACCACTGAAGGCTCTTAGGTAGGCCAAGCCTGGGAATTATTTCAGAAAATAATACCATAATTACCTCCGTGACCTTTTCTGATTTATATGGGAAAGCCTCTGTCCCCCCTGTGACAGCATCTATCAAGGCTGGGAGATGTTTGGAGTTAGGCACACTGGGCAGGAAGGACTGTGCTTGTTAGCCTTTCCCAGGATAATGCTCCGTCTCTGGGTACCGGAGGCTGCAGGTATCTGTTGAAGGGATTACTTCCTTGATATTTTTCACACCTTGTACTACCTGCTAGACTGTCTCACTGAAGCCTTATCCTAGAAACTTTTTTTTTTTTCTCAAAATAAGTGTGTTCTCCTGTTCCAGGTGATGGATCTGATGTAGGGACTCCAAGACATCCTTTTGTAGGGCCAATGGCAAGAACAGTTGGTCCTTTGGATGTTAACCACCACCACCCTCCAGGTTCTAGATGCCACCCTGTCATAGAGGCAAAGGCCATTTCCTCTGAAGGATACTCAGGTCTCTCGAGAGGCAGCACAGACTCTCCCCAGAGGAAGGGGCTTTTTAGATCTCCCAGTGCAGCTCTCAGCCTCAAAATCAGCCATCTTACCTCCCTTTGGTATTGGGTCAAACCCTCCCTGATGCTCAGGAAAATGGATTACAGCCACTTGGATGGGTAAACAGACCACATCCAGAAGCCTGAGAACTTTTTGGGAAATTCTCAGCTGTACTTGGGAGGCCTCTTTGCTTCCAAATATTGTCATGGGCATGCAAGACAAGGAAGGCATGTTTGGAGTCCATGTAAATATTAACTCTGTTTCTAGAGCCTGAGAGAGAGCTATGGGCTCTGTTAACTGAGTGCTTTAGTTTCTAGGTATTAGTCTTGATTCAGGCACCTGAAGCTAGTGACTATTACATATCCTAAACATTGGCTCTCCTCTTTGACAAGAACTTCATCTGTATAGAGGACCAGTTCACCGTTTGCCAATGGCTGATCTGAGAGATTGGCCCTCCTCACAAGAGTGGGCAGGCTCCCCTTCATCTTCCTGTAGATGAGAAGTCTGTTAGCTAGAATTAGGATGTTTGCTGTATTATGGTTTATGGACCTTAAGGGGACAGCCAAGAGTAAACTTTTGGATTTCAGCAATTAGGAGTCCAACAGCAGCAACTGCCCATAGGCACCCAGGCTCATCCTTTGCCAGCTGATCTAATTCTTTACTTAGGTATCCTCCAGGCTGAGGAGAGGGGCTTTGAGCTGGGTAGTCACCCCCAAAGCTGGGCCCTGTCTCTCATTTATGGGCCCATGAAACCTGGGCTGAGTAGGTGACCCTAAGGCAAGGGTTGGCGCCTTCCAAGTGTCGACTGCAGAGGGCTACACAACTGGTAGAGGGACCGGTGGTTGGAGAAGTGATGCAGGCAGTCAGCATAATCACAGACAGATGGATAAGTGGCTGGAGAACTTTCAGACTTTAGTGGTATTGGCGCTATCCAAAACAGACATCGGACTGGGTCTGTAGGTCAGCACTTTCTCACGTTAACCAAACTCCCAAGAAATCCAAGCACATTCCTAGAAAGTGCAGTGTCCACTGAGTAGGGGCTGGTGTCTGGGGTTGTTGTCACCAGTCGACAGTAAAACTAGAGCTGTCATCCAGTAGGATGACAAGGTGACAGAGCCGCAACTGTCAGCCTTCTGAGGGTGGCTTTGTGTGTGTACCTCCTCCCGACCTCTTGTTCTGTGGGCTGGCCCTCCAGGACTGCTCACTCTGTGTCGTTGCATTCCCATAATTAGCACTAATAAAGGCTTCCGCTTCCCTTGACGTGTGGCCAGGACTTGATTAGATTTCCAGCCTGCTCCTTTGCTTTTGGCCAAGCAAACATCCTGCCTTTAGAAAGCAGCTTGGTAGGCAGCTGACGTCACCTACCAGGCCAACTGCTCTGTTCCATGCTCAGGGCTGCCTCCCAAAAAGAAAGGATGACCAGCAAGGAAGGGCAGGGCTGCTGTGAGCCTTATGCCCCCCTCCCTGCCAGGAAAAACCACTGTACAAAATGGTGGTTTGGGGCCGTACTGAGTATGAGACACACACACACACACACACAGAGGGGAGAGAGCATGCATATGTGTGTGGGCTGCAGAGATGGCTCAGGCTAAGAGCCCTTGCTGCTGCTTGCAGAGGATGCATGTGTGTACGCCCTCACATATACACACAATTAAAAGAAGCTAGTTATGGGAGCTCACGGAGTCCCTCACGTTACCATACTGCCAGCGATGGCAGCATGGGGAGCAATTTGGGCTTTTGACTTATAAGACATGTAGTTGCAGAATCCAGTCTCTCCAGCCACTTGCTGCTAGCCCAGGGACAGTAGTTGGGAGGAAGATGGCATCCGCTGTGATGACAGGGACTGCCTGGGCCAATGTCACTGGGAGAAATCACTCTTAGAGGTGTCTGGAGAGAGTGGCCCTGCCCTTACCCCCAGCAGGTGTCAGTGGTCACTGGCCTTCCTGCCCTTGTCCAAGCCTCACAGTGATTCCAACAGGACTCCCCTGGGTTCCCAAGACACACCACTCCTTTCTCTCTGCAAGGGATGGGGGATGGGTCAGGCACACCTCATCTAGCAGCCGGACCCAGAGCTTAGACTGTGAGTCAGCTCACCAGGTCCCATCTTTTGTGTGTGTGTTTTGTTGTTGTTTTTTGTCTGTTTCAGAAAACACCAGGTCCAGGAGCATACACAGCTTCGAGACAGTTCCCTAAGCAGTCCCCAACCATCGCCAAAATGGGTAGAGAACACAGCCTCTTCTTCAATAACACAATTGGCTTTTAAAATAAAGCAATATTAGTGCCAAGCTACTTTGAGCCTCAGCAAGTTCTTATGTCTAGAAAGATCTTGCCCATTTCTTGTGGGGGTGGACCCTGGATCAGTGGCCTGGGTAACCATCCTATAGGGTCCTAGTCTGAACAATCAGTTACTCTGCTTAGTCCAAGAGGACAGACAGCTATCCCAGAGACTGGCCCAGGCTATGCCTTGAAGCAGTATGCATGGCAGATGTGTCCAGGCTAGGTGCTGTGTGGCTTTCTCCACCATGCTGATGTTGGAAGATCCCCAGATCCCCTTGAAGGCTTCTATGAGTCAATTGCATCAAACCACAGGTAGAGTTGGCAGGCTCCCAAAAGGTGGCACTTTTCTCTTTTTCAACTTCGTGAAAAGAAAAGTTTGACTCAACCATGTATAGGATCACACAGCAGATGACATCCTGGTCAGTGACAGATAGATACATGTATGACAGTGGTCTCTGGGCAATGCAAAAAAACCCTCCATTGCCTGATGGCATTGTAGGATAAGGTAGTACAAGTTTGTGGTGTCGTCATCGTAAACAAAGCCATCAGCCTGTCTGTTGTGTGGAAGCTTGACACTGTTCTACAGGACAATTCTGGGCAAACTCACCTTTACAATCTGCTTGTTGACTGTTGATGTTCCCTCAGAAGGAGGGGCCTGGCCATGGGTCACCTGGGTATCCAGCCATGCCATCTAGCCAGCCACATGCAAGTCTGTCCTGGTTGTCCATGGCCTCAGTGTGGAGCTCCAGGTGTGTAGGCTGGGAAGGACTAGGGAGGAAGTCATTATCTACACAGCCATGCATGGGGCTATCATCCACGCTGGTGGAAGACTTTCCAACGTGGCTGCCTTAAGGCCACTCATGCTCCGCTCTGCTCATAAATCCTCTCCCCTTTCTCCGTAAGTGAGCCTAATAAACTTGCTGGTTTCCCAGTGTAAACTTTAGATTATGCCTTAGTTTGTCAGGGGACCTTAGGAAGAGGCAGGGTAGACATCGTGTCTTCCTCAGGAAGGAATTTTAGCCAGAGATACACTATAGTTACTGTAAAGAGCAAACTGCTTGATAATAGGTGGCTCTATTACTGGCTTAACCATCATGCTATGGCTTTGCCCTTTTCTCTTGCCATGTTATCATTTTCTTTTCTTTTTTCTTTTTGGTTTTTCGAGACAGGGTTTCTCTGTGGCTTTGGAGGCTGTCCTGGAACCAGCTCTTGTAGACCAGGCTGGTCTCGAACTCAAAGAGATCCACCTGTCTCTGCCTCCCAAGTGTTGGGATTAAAGGCATGCGCCACCATTGCCCAGCTTCTATTTGTTTAAACTGTGTGCATGTGTGCATGCTAGGAGTCACACCCAGGGCATTGTGTTTTATCATCAAGCTTCAGCCTGGCTCATTTGTCATTAGAGTATGTACCTTTTGCTTGCAAAAGAAAAAAAGCAAGGCCACAGTAAAACAGTATATTATGGGATAGGGAGAAGTGGCTGCCTCCAGACTCAGAAACACTGTCTCAAAAACTATTATGGAAATGATAGAGGGGGGCACTCAAAAGAGTTGACCTATGGCCTCACATGTCACATGCAGGCATGGGCCTGTGTGTCTGTACACACTGGTGTACACACATGTACAAGCATCATACACATACAAATACCCCAGTAGACTATGTTACACTTACAGGAACTCAGGCATCTTATATTCACTTTTGATTGCATCTTTTTCTTGTACTTGATTTAATCTCATGTTTTTTCATCATGGCTCTAAAAGCATAAGCTGTACCAATTTCATAGGTGTTCCATATATATGCATATATATATGTATATATATATATATATATATCATGACATCTATGTTTATGTTTGCATGCAATAGCAAAATCAATTAGTGAGTGTATATATCCTCATTAAGTGCCCGTGACTTATGTTTCTGATTCCAAGTCAATGGAATCTTGAATATCTACTATGTATTGGGTGCTGTGCCGGTATTGAAGGGCTTGGAACAGAGATGAAGGATCATGGGATTGAATTTGGCAGGGTAATAAGGGAGACCAGGCCCAAGACGAAGTCTAAGAGCTATGCTAAGAAGCTCCGGCAGATCTCTGAGGTCTGAGGCTCCAAGAATGTCCTCATGCAGGTGACAGCTCTAATGCGAAGACCAACTCTAACCTTTGAAAGATGCCAGATCACCGCCAGTGCCCAGAAGAGGGCTGTGACCTGCCACATGTGTTTGGTGGAGGGAGAAGGCAGGAGAGTCAAGCCCCAAACAGGAAGCCTGTCCAATACCCCAGGGATCCTGGAGGCTGAGATGAGCAGGGAGGAAAGGAAAGCTGGGCAGGGGGAAGGGCCACCATCCATCTGGGCAAAGGCCCAAGGCAGGGATAAACACAAGTTGAGAGAGGGAGCAGAGGAAGTCTGGCTCTGAGAAGGTGAATGGGGGAAGGGTGTGGGAGGGGGCGCAGTTATCAGAAAGCAGGACAGTGAGCCTGCATACCAGAAAGTTCTTTCCCTGGCCCAGGAGGATTACCAGACAGGTCCTGTAAAGGACAGTAGGGCTCAGAGAGGAAGAACAGCCTGGAGTTTGGCAAATACTCTAAAAATTAACAAAACTAAAAGATGTTTTTACTTTGTTGTATTTAAAGAGTGGGAAAAAAAGTACACACACACACACACACACACACACACACACACACACACACACACACACACACACACCACCCCTCAGGATTTAGAAGCCCTTATAAGATGTATTCTTTCTGTCTTCACCTTTGGGGAAGAAACTCCCCTCCCACCTGTGAAACTATCCTGGGCATGTGGAATGTCAAGAGTCCTTGCCTGTTGTGATCAGAACATAGTGGAAGGGCAGAGAGACTCAAGTTTGTTGTTTTTCAAGACAGGGTTTCTCTGTGTAGTCCTGGCTGTCTTGGAGCTCACTCTGTAGAGCATGCTGGCCTCGAACTCAGAGCTCCACCTGCCTCTGCCTCCTGAGTGCTGGAATCAAAGTCATGGGCCAGCACCATCCAGAAGTCTCAAGTTTCTCTAAATGGGCCAAAGTTCCTGCATTACAGTTCCAAGATGAAGAAAGAAAAGGATAGATCTAGTTTGGCATTGAGCGTGGTGAAAAACAGAAAAGCAACAAAAACAGGCAGAAGGCAGAGGCAGGCAGATTATCTTCTAAGGTTTAAGGTTAACCTGATCTACAGAGTGAGTTTCAGGACAGTTAGGGCTACACAGTAAAACCTTGTCTTGGTGGGGGAAAAAGACATTGAGCTTGGCTATGAGATTGGGACATTGTGCTGGGTGGTGGTGCACACCTTTAATCCTAACACTGAGAGGCAGAGGCAGGTGGATCTCACTGAGTTCAAGGCTAGCCTGATCTACAAAGCAAGTTCCAGGACAGCCAGGACTGTTATACAGAGAAACCCGGTCTCGAAAGACACACACACACACACACACACACACACACACACAGAGAGAGAGAGAGAGAGAGAGAGAGACAGACAGACAGACAGACAGAGATTGGGGGGGTTATTGGAACAGTGATACTTAGCCCCTAAGAACATCCTGCTCATCAGCTGTCTGAGAAGTCTGATTTAGGAGACTCTCCACAGAGCACTATAAATCTAAGGGACTACAGACCTCCCTGAACTGTTCCCCACCCATCTGAACCCATCTTAAATCCCCAAGGGTCTTCCTTTGGGGCTTTAAGTAGGTAACCCTGCCTCCCCTCCTCCGGTAGCTTCCTTAGGTGCCTGCCCTGGTTCCCCTGAGCAGCTCTCTCCTCCCTAACCGCCACCCCTCTAGCATCTCCGTGAATTTGGCTCCAACCAAAGGGGATATGTCTTCTTGGCTGCAAATGCCTCATGCTGTTCGTGTGACCTTTCCTCTTCATTAAGCAGATGTCAAAAGTCACAGCACCGAAGTGGACAGCCTGGCCCCTTTCTCACCTTCCCACCCCTGTCCTGTCACCACTCTCTGGACCCACAGGCATAACTCCTTCCACTCGGGTGGCTATGTGACAGGGATAAACATTGAGGCTAAGGACCACAGGCTGCCTGAGTGACCAGCCCTGTCTCCAGCTTCATCTGTAACAGGCTAGATGTCACTTGCCTGTGGCGTGCCCGTGCATGCACGTTCCTGCACTATGCTTAGCTTACCTGGTCATCTGTCAATGAACATGTGGATTGCCTCCATGGTTTTAGCTTTTGTAAACAATGCTGCTATGAACATGAATGTATAAATATCTCCCTTTGGGACCCAGCTTTCAATTATTTGGGGGGAATCCCAGTAGACTTGAGGATCACAGAGTTATCCTATTTTTAACTTTTTTGAGAAACCATCATATTGTTTGCCACAGTGGTGGAACCATCTTATGTTCCCACCAAGAGTGCATAAGGATTTACAGTTTCCATGTACTCACCAAAACAACTTTATGTTTTGGTATTAGCTATCCTAATGGGTGTGAAGTGGTACCTATTATATAGCTGTGATTTTCATTCCTCCTAATCATTAGTGATGTTGGGCATCTTTTTATAGATACAGATATAGATATAGATCTTTTTATAGACTTATTGGCCATTAACAAATCTTGCAGAGAACTCTGGAGAAGTCCTCTGCCTATTTTTAAAGGAAGCCATGGGTTCCGGGTTATCACTGTGTTTTAGAATTCCTTGATAGTCTGCTTCTAGGCCTTATGCATCTCAGGCAGGAGATTTACCACTAACCTATATCCCCAGGCCCTGGATTGTACTATCTTTCTTTTGTTTGTTTTGTTTTTCTCTGTGTAGCCTTGGCTGTCCTGGAACTGGCATTGTAGACCAAGCTGGCCTTGAACTCACAGAGATCTGCCTGCAGAGAGAGCCAGTTACATTAGAGACCCATGAAGCAAAGATGCCTCTGATCTGCAAGCCCCTTGCCCAAAGGCAGACAGTTCCTGAAGTGCTGCAGGCTATTGTTTGAGAGAGAACAAGCCCCACGGTTTCACTCCCCTAAACCAGTTTGTTTGACCCATCTGCACCGGATGTGC